CGTACATAGTTCGATATTGGATATAACTGTGGAAGGCGGCTCGGGAGAATTTCCAAATCTCCACGCTCAGGCAACTTTTTCAACCTCCGAAACTTGGAGCTTATGGCTGAAATATTGCTTTACAGCCACATACCGATTATATTGTGTTTTGCAGTCGTATTGCATTAGAAAAACACCAAAAACAATCAAATTTGATACCGTTTTGAGAATCTATTTATGACATGGAGTCAAGTGTCTTAAATTGATTGTTTACGTTAGTATGATCTCTGCTTAGTGAGCAGGAGGTCCCTGGTTCGATCCCAGCCTTCTCATCTGCGTACTTGTGATTGAAATAAATACATCACGCAAACGATTTATTTTATGTGCCACGATGTAGCTTATACGGCATTCCATTATGCACGGGGCAACGCAAATCTCCACAACGTAGCACCAGACATCAAGTATTCTTATCTTATCTTAGCGTTGTTCACTCACTTCAAGGCATATGAGGCATCCAATTGCATGCACCCTTCAACTAATTCAATAGTTCAACAGCTTTCTGGTTCTCCAGTAGAGATGCATAGATGAAGTTCTCCTGGAGAACTTTGAGCCCATCAAGGAACTCAGCGTTATCATGGACACGTGGATCTTGGCCGTATTTCTTGAACGCAGCCGCAATCCCCCTGTTGCTGGACTGGGCGGTGCCAATCTATCGTGTCGCAGTCTCAATCCATTCAAGAACGCTCTCGCGTGTCACGCTGTACTTTCCACCGGGCCCAGGGTCGGACTTGATTTTGAATTCGCAATAGCAGTGCTTGAACGCCGCTTTGAGTGTCTTGTTGATGATGAGGTCGCACACTTGTAGAATGCTTTTCAACCCCGCAGGAATGAATTCAACCACGATCCCGAGTTCCTCAGCGTATTTCATGACTTGCTCGGTATTATACGCTGCAGCCAGATCCCAAATGAGTCTGAGCTTCTCATGTTGGTATAGATCACGAAGCCAGTCACGGTACACCATTGCTGTTGTTTGGTCCATCCACTGCATTTGTTGAAATGACTAGAAAGGGCGAAAATATCGAGGACGTAAACATCTCACATGTGACAGCAACCGTGCAGCCTTTTTTCTCGTCTTCCTTACGGTTTGAGTCAACTCGTTTGGTGTTGGTCGGGAACAATGAAATGATCTTCCTTTCGGTAAAAGTTGAGAAACATATCGTCCATATTCACCAAGCGAGTCACACCCGAAGCCGCCATTGTGGCACGAATGACTGCCGTAGCATCCAGCGCCAATATCAGCCAATTCGTTGGCACTGACTGAGAAATCGACTCCTTGCGTACTGAGTAGCCGTGGTGTTGCAATTTCACTTCAACCATTGCGACAGACTTGGAGTGATCGTCCCAGTGCACACTCCTATTGCTTTTGTCCAGCCACGATAGGCCTCTTCACCGTACTGCTTGATGAGCAGGTTCTAGCATGCCCCACGGGAAAGAGGATTGCCCGTCTCCCATGCACATTGCAGTAAATATGAACTGGGCTTCTTGGTACTTGATGTGTCGTCCGCTTCCAACGGAACGTGCGTCGTGTGCAATGTGAGCAACGTTAGCATCCCTCGATGCTTGCTTTCGCTTGTCCCGTCACCAGAGCTGGTGTCTGTGACGAACTTGGTCTTGGTTGTGATGAGAAAGCGTACAGGAACCTGAAGTAGTTCGTTTTTTGGAACTGTGATGTACTCCGCCTTGTATGCATCGGGAATATGTAAGAGCCGAGACAAACGCATGCCACTTTGGATAGTATTGCAGCTGCGTGACCCAGTTGCTGAATTTATCCACGTTGTAGCCAAACACCAATCAGCTCAGTTCGACGTTCTTGTTGCCCAGGTTTGGATGGAGGTAAAAGAAGACAGCGCGTGATTTCTCATACCATGTGAAAGTGTGACGTCGTTCAGTAGTCTTGCGTGTCACGAGTGCCTCTGGGGCTGCCGCAGCTTTGTCAATGGTTGCACGTGTGAGCTCGGGGTATACTGTCTCCCTTAACAGCTTTAGAGCTTGGGACTGGACGGTCGTATGGTTTTGACGCTGTTCTTGCGCTTCGATCCACGCTTTGTTTTTGGGCTGTTGCAATAGGAATTTCTTCATTACACGCTCAAAGCTGAAGTGAGTACTTCTACGTCAGATATAGACTATAGGTGCACCGCTGTCGAATGTCTGGGCTCTTCCAGACAGATAGAATCGTGCCGAATCGACGCGAGTTCACCAGGCGTGGAAGGGATGAACCTCCAGAAACGAATTTACTCCGGCCACAAAAGAAGGCACTACCTGAATTATCAGGGGTTAACCACACCAGACGGACTGTGCATCCATTTCTTTGGGCCCTTGGAAGGCAACCGCCACGACGTGACTATGCTTCGTGTTAGCAATTTACAAGCGTACTTCGAAACCAACGCTGACATATTCAACGGGTATTACATCTACGGGGATCCCGCCACTGCAATTTCAAAATGGATAATTTCAGGTTTTCAATGATCAGGTTATCCGGTGAGCGTAGGCGTTTTGGGCGGCGCAGGCGGCCGACGAGTGGGCACACGGAGTGACTAGAATCATGATTTTGTATATGGCCTGTGTATGGACATGCCAACCTGGTACAACCCGACCCCTTGCGTGGGCACCAATACTTACACGCATACGTGAACCACTCGTCGGTCGCCGTAGAATGATACGTTGTCTCATTCTACGATTCATACTTGAAACCCCTTCATACATCCACTGTTGTCCATAACATCAAAGGTCTATCCGTCGAATGGTCATCTATGAATAATATTCTGGTCACAAAGTCACGCGCAAAGGAAATCCGGATAAACGAAATGAATTGACAAATAGAATTCACGAACCGGAAACACTTTCGAGAGGT